ATGCACTGAAAAAATTAGCAAGTACACAGAACTCGCCCAGGAAATCAGGCATCTGTGGAGGATGGATAGGGTGCTTATTGTACCTGTCGTTCTCTCCTGTACAGGTGTGATACCACACACGCTACACAAAAGCCTGGGAACATTACAATTGAGTAGAAATACATACATCACACTACAGAAGGCCACTATATTGAATACATGCCATATTGTTAGGAAATTCCTTAATACAGACACTGACACTGACACACACACATTTAATTTTAATTTTGTTTTGGTTGCTATGCCTTGACTCTGGTCCGGCATAGTACACAGCCACCGGTGTGTACTGAGTATAACCCACTAAACCCAACACATAATAATGTGAGAATACGGATGAGGGTTCAGGCCCTCTAATCGTCAGATCTGCTAGACCTGCTCACCTTGTCACTGGATGGCTTAATTTTTAATCAGAACCTGAGTGGTAAGATTCTGTGTGTGTTGTGCATAAGAAATAAATACTCGACTATGAAAGTCAAGAATATAAAAATCAACACTTTAATTACAGAAAACCAAAATAACAAGGACAAATAATATAATAACAAAACATAAAACATAAGTCTAACCTAAGACTAGGGAGGTTCTTCTTATNCTCCCAGCAGTAGTGTATATAGTGAGAGGCTATTTTCAGAAGCAGGTATAGTTTATGAGGAAAAGCGCAATCGTTTGCTATCAACAAATGCTGAAAAAATTGTTTTCATTCATCACAACTTACCACTGATAGATTTTAAGTATTAAATGTAATAATTTGTGATTAAAATAAATACGTTTTTGAGTAATATGTGTTCCATGATTTGGTATTTGGCCGACAAGATTTGGCTGTTGACCGAATATTGAAAGTTAAAGAAGAATAGGCCGAATACTGAATAGTAGCCGAATATTCGTGGTATCTCTAATATATATATAAACTTAATTACTGCTACAATGATATAGCATGAATTAGATGTGCTACATCATTACTGTGACAGGCAGCGCACAGCACTTGCCTGTGTGGAATTGAAAGTGTTAACCTGTGAAAGTCTATAAGTATTTAATTTTCTACATTAGCAACTCAGGTTTTTTTCATTTCTAATTGATATTTTCTAATAAGTACCTTCCAATAGCCAAGTGGATAAAACCACCGAACATTGGTAGTTGGCCATGGGCTGGCCATGTGGAGTTTTCCAGGTTTTCTTCATGTTATTAACATCTAAACAGGGATCAGCTTCATATAAGTCTTCTTGGGATACATCCCCTCGGCATATTGCTCATGTGTCAATTGCCTTAACCAAATAAATCAAACTAATTCAAATCATTTTTCTGTAAATGCCATATATATGAGGACATACTTCCCAAGTAGTTTATACAAACAGTTACAAAAATATAAACACTTTATTATCACATAAAAGCAATTATTCTTGCATTTTTATACGATTTTTTTTTTTAAAACAAGTCGTGAAGTCTTTCAGACATCAAGGTTAGCAACTTCAATCATGTGTGGAGCTATCACAATCTATCCAACACATATCACTTTTCAAATATTAATTAATAGTAGACCAGTATTAATTAGTAGTCATTGACTATCCTTTCTTCCAGGAGGAGATCAATGATTACTTTTGGCCAAATTACTTCAACCCCCTTTTGCAACAGTTTCTTCTTTCTATCATACCAGCAGTATGGTGGCATTTCAATAGGAAAATTACATAATACAAGTTTACTAGTCTGCACAAAATATGTTTTAATTGGTTTTTGAGGGTGCCGAGTTTAAATATTTGGTCCTTTTTTTGCAAAATTTGATTCATTGGCAGATTACCATTTGATATTTGGCTGTGAATGGTACAGTTTTTTAGAGTTAACATTAGGAAAAAATATGATATCTTAAAAAATTTGAGAAATATTTTCAATTGATGTCTACTTGACCAATGAAATTATGCCATTTTGTACCATTTTAGTATGGCGATAAACATGACAATGGTAGGCTGAAATAACCAAACTCTGGTTTTCATTTGAATGTTTGTTATATTATAGTATTTGATTTATATAACCACAAAGGTTATCTTACATAAGGGTTTATCACACTGAGTGACCTTGATCAACTCCATTAATTGCACTAAGTAATAATACAAAACATGGGACACTGAATGTTACATTATTTTATTTATGTATAATATACAAAGCAGTGACATAAACAGTTTGCTATGCAGCACTTCAGAAACAAAAACAAATCATTCTCTTACCCAAGGGTTAAGATCCTAGCATTACATAATGTTTTTGTAAACACTCCCCATTCCCTTGTAATGAATCATAATGATTACNCAACCATTATTCTATAATGTAATTAACATAATTATAATTTTTTAATTTTTATTGTTTATAGATAGTATGGAAAATACAGGCTACAAATTAAGTCAAATTTTCTAAGTTCAATTTTTTTGACAGGTTCAAATTTCTTGGTATAATCTAATTTTAACTCTCTGTGAAAAAATGCTTTGTTGTATCAAACCTTATGCCTCTAAGTTATGTCCATTGACTCTTGGATGTTTGGCTCAAAATGATCCTTTGCTTACATTCTTAACATGGGATTCTGTATTATATGTATTAAATATTTTTGAGGTAAGTTTGTATGAAAGTTTTTATTTAAGTTATGTCAAAGAAATATATATTTTAAAATTTGATATTTGAAAATCATTAATATTTATCATAACAAAATAAAATGTATCAGTTTTAAATAATTATTTAATTATTATGAATTTCTTTTACTTATTTATATCTGTTGATTTAATATATTTGATAGGATTGCAGCTTGTGATTAACATATTACGTTAATTTGTTACATTTTACATTAAAAATGTATACTATGAAATAGATTTACATTTTGCTGTTAATGAATGTGTAATAATCCTTTATTTTTCATTGAATTGACTTTTATTGTATTTATGTCTATAGTTTACATTGAGATGAGCTTCAGCTTTTGATAGAATTTTGTATTTTGTACTTCAAATAATTTGAAGTTAACATTTTATTTAATTAAGTTTTTCAAATGAAATCATATTTTGATTTAAAAATAAAATAGAAAATTAAGCGGAAAGAAGTATTTTCTTTGAATTGACACAAACCTTTGAATAAGCAGTCTAACAGAATAGAATTACTCAGATACTGATTCAGTATTATATCATTTAAGAAAAAATTACTATATTAATCTTAGTATAAAACAATTATCTTTGATGATAAAACTGATATTTTGTCGGTAGTGATCTCATATAATAATAATAAATTTATGAAATTGTATGAAATTTCATAAATTTATAAAATGATAATTGATAAAAGTAATTTCTACTTTTATCAATTAAACTCTTTTTAACAAATTTTGGACTTTTAACAAACAAATTAACAAAAAATTTGGACTTTCAACTTAAACATAAAATTAAAGAGTTTATCTGGTATTCTTTAGCAGCTGGTGAAAGTACAGATATCAGAGATACATCGCAGCTTGCTGTATTTATTCATGGAATCAATGAAGATTTTTGCATCACAGAAGACTTGCTACAATGTATACCATTGAAAAGTACTACCACAGCTCAAGATATTTACTCAGCAATTGAGCAATTAGTACCAAATTATGACTTGGATTGGAGTAAATTCTGCAGTATTACCACAGATAGGTCACCATCCATGATTGGTAAAAACGCTGGTGTTGTCACAAAAATACGGAACAAAATTTTAAATGAAATTAAAGGTGAACGGCCCAAATTCATTGAAATTCACTGTATTGTACATCAAGAAGTCTTGGCCTCTAAAGTGCTGAAAATGGATCATGTAACAAATCCTGTAATTAAAACAGTTAATTTTATTAAAAGTAGAGGACTAAATCACTGCCAATTCATACAATTTTTAAATGATCTTGATGAAAAATGTTCAGATATTCCCTACTTTGCAGAAGTACGGTGGCTTAATCATGGATCAATGCTTAAATGATTTTTCGAATTGCGTAAACATGTTGTTATGTTTATGGCTCAAAAGGGCAAACTGATGGAACACAGTGATGAATGGTGTCTTGACTTTGCATTCTTAGTAGATATGATGGAACACTTGAATAATTTGAACGTTAAACTTCAAGGAAAAAATGTAATCGTTATGTGACTGTACTCAAGTGTTCAAGCTTTCAAAATAAAATTAAAGTTGTGGGAATCACAGCTGAAAGAACAAAAACTTGACCATTTCCCTAGCATTGTGAAATCAGCATGTACAATGCAGATAAATTAGCAGATTTTTCTTACTGTTTGCTTGATCTTTTTGCTGAATTTGATAGTCGTTTTGCAGACTTTTGCAAGCTCAATATCTACGAGTTTCCTCTTTTTAATGATCTGTTTATGTTTGAATGGAACTAATAGATTTGCAGTGTGATACTGCTTTAAAAAGCAAGTTTAATGAAATTGACAATTTGGCATTTTATACAAAGTACTTCAAAAATCAAAATAGCTATCCCAACTTAAGGAATCATGCTGCCCACATTTTATGCATGTTTGGAAGTTCATGTGTGTGTGAACAGTTGTTTTCACAATGAAGATTAATAAATCTAAATACCGTTCAAGACTTAGATAAACATCTTCATTCCATTTTGAAAATCAATACAACATCGTTGACACCAAACATTGAGGAGACAATGAAGCATAGAAGAAGTCAAGTNGATGTAAAAGTTTATAACCTTATTAGGTTATGTTTTATTAATTATTCCAAATTTTATCATTTTTTTATATTTTTGAGTGAAATTCAAATATATTATTTATTACGTTAAAATTATATTAATTATCTCAAGAACACCGTCAGATTGTCACATCAATAATAATAATAATCAACCATTATTCTATAATGTAATTAACATAATTATAATTTTTTAATTTTTATTGTTTATAGATAGTATGGAAAATACAGGCTACAAATTAAGTCAAATTTTCTAAGTTCAATTTTTTTGACAGGTTCAAATTTCTTGGTATAATCTAATTTTAACTCTCTGTGAAAAAATGCTTTGTTGTATCAAACCTTATGCCTCTAAGTTATGTCCATTGACTCTTGGATGTTTGGCTCAAAATGATCCTTTGCTTACATTCTTAACATGGGATTCTGTATTATATGTATTAAATATTTTTGAGGTAAGTTTGTATGAAAGTTTTTATTTAAGTTATGTCAAAGAAATATATATTTTAAAATTTGATATTTGAAAATCATTAATATTTATCATAACAAAATAAAATGTATCAGTTTTAAATAATTATTTAATTATTATGAATTTCTTTTACTTATTTATATCTGTTGATTTAATATATTTGATAGGATTGCAGCTTGTGATTAACATATTACGTTAATTTGTTACATTTTACATTAAAAATGTATACTATGAAATAGATTTACATTTTGCTGTCAATGAATGTGTAATAATCCTTTATTTTTCATTGAATTGACTTTTATTGTATTTATGTCTATAGTTTACATTGAGATGAGCTTCAGCTTTTGATAGAATTTTGTATTTTGTACTTCAAATAATTTGAAGTTAACATTTTATTTAATTAAGTTTTTCAAATGAAATCATATTTTGATTTAAAAATAAAATAGAAAATTAAGCGGAAAGAAGTATTTTCTTTGAATTGACACAAACCTTTGAATAAGCAGTCTAACAGAATAGAATTACTCAGATACTGATTCAGTATTATATCATTTAAGAAAAAATTACTATATTAATCTTAGTATAAAACAATTATCTTTGATGATAAAACTGATATTTTGTCGGTAGTGATCTCATATAATAATAATAAATTTATGAAATTGTATGAAATTTCATAAATTTATAAAATGATAATTGATAAAAGTAATTTCTACTTTTATCAATTAAACTCTTTTTAACAAATTTTGGACTTTTAACAAACAAATTAACAAAAAATTTGGAATTTCAACTTAAACATAAAATTAAAGAGTTTATCTGGTATTCTTTAGCAGCTGGTGAAAGTACAGATATCAGAGATACATCGCAGCTTGCTGTATTTATTCATGGAATCAATGAAGATTTTTGCATCACAGAAGACTTGCTACAATGTATACCATTGAAAAGTACTACCACAGCTCAAGATATTTACTCAGCAATTGAGCAATTAGTACCAAATTATGACTTGGATTGGAGTAAATTCTGCAGTATTATCACAGATAGGTCACCATCCATGATTGGTAAAAATGCTGGTGTTGTCACAAAAATATGGAACAAAATTTTAAATGAAATTAAAGGTGAACGGCCCAAATTCATTGAAATTCACTGTATTGTACATCAAGAAGTCTTGGCCTCTAAAGTGCTGAAAATGGATCATGTAACGAATCCTGTAATTAAAACAGTTAATTTTATTAAAAGTAGAGGACTAAATCACTGCCAATTCATACAATTTTTAAATGATCTTGATGAAAAATGTTCAGATATTCCCTACTTTGCAGAAGTACGGTGGCTTAATCATGGATCAATGCTTAAATGATTTTTCGAATTGCGTAAACATGTTGTTATGTTTATGGCTCAAAAGGGCAAACTGATGGAACACAGTGATGAATGGTGTCTTGACTTTGCATTCTTAGTAGATATGATGGAACACTTGAATAATTTGAACGTTAAACTTCAAGGAAAAAATGTAATCGTTATGTGACTGTACTCAAGTGTTCAAGCTTTCAAAATAAAATTAAAGTTGTGGGAATCACAGCTGAAAGAACAAAAACTTGACCATTTCCCTAGCATTGTGAAATCGGCATGTACAATGCAGATAAATTAGCAGATTTTTCTTACTGTTTGCTTGATCTTTTTGCTGAATTTGATAGTCGTTTTGCAGACTTTTGCAAGCTCAATATCTACGAGTTTCCTCTTTTTAATGATCTGTTTATGTTTGAATGGAACTAATAGATTTGCAGTGTGATACTGCTTTAAAAAGCAAGTTTAATGAAATTGACAATTTGGCATTTTATACAAAGTACTTCAAAAATCAAAATAGCTGTCCCAACTTAAGGAATCATGCTGCCCACATTTTATTCATGTTTGGTAGTTCATGTGTGTGTGAACAGTTGTTTTCAACAATGAAGATTAATAAATCTAAATACTGTTCAAGACTTACAGATGAACATCTTCAGTCTATTTTGAAAATCAATACATCATTGACACCAAACATCGAGGAGATAATGAAGTGTCGAAGAAGTCAAGTTTCTGGATCCTCAAAATAATATTTTGGTTTAATACGTCTCTACTTTAAAAAATTATAATTATAATTTTTTTTTTAAATAGAATCATTCTTTATATACTTCTTATTTATACTTAGTATTACAGTCGCATTTTATTTTTAATCTGGCCTGCTGTCATACTTGAGACAAAAAATTGGCACTTAAGGAATTTGAGTTTAACACCCCTGTTTCAGATCATCCTTTCTCAAAGTGGGCAGTAATGTCCCCTTGTGGGCACTGGAGGCTTTCAGGAGGCAGTAGAAGACTCAGTGATTAAATATGAGTTTTATTTCTTCTCATTTGAAAACATTCTTTGATCTCAGAAATAGGATATGGATCACACACTATCTATCCTATACATATAATAATGCATGGTTAAACATTATATTTGCAATAACTGTTTTTAAGATATGCAACAGATAGTAATGTAAAAAGGTAAATTAAAAAGTATGGGGGCACTAGATTTTTTTTATCTCAAAGTGGGCAGTGGTCGAAATAAGTTTGAGAACATGTGTATTAGATTGTAATAAAAAAAGAGTCAAGTTAGATTAGTTTGCATAAATATCACACATTAATAAAAAATGTATTAAAATAAACATTGATTTTTAAAAACATTATCCTATAATTTTACAGAAATATTCTTAATAATAATATACAAAATTTTCTTTTGAATCATTTAGTTTTATATATATTTGTTATAGGATTGTTGGCAATATGTTAATGTAAACAAAGTATTTTTTCCTCAACTTTGGACGATTTTAAAAAGTGGTGGACAAGGAACTGCTGTTACATTGTTTCCAAAGCTTTTGCCATTATTGAGTAAGATTCCAGAAAATATAATTGGAGATAAGATCACATTTTATCAAAATTTTTTTGGTAATATGAGAGAGAGGTAAGTTTTTATAATGTTTACTAAACTAAATTTTTAATAATTTCAAGTGTATTCATACATTATAATACTTATATGCATTTATTATTTTATATTTATTCAGTATTAAAATTTTATTCATTAACTATCATAGATTTTAAATCTGATAATTGTATTCAAAAATTTATTTAAATTAGCAAAAGACTAATATAAATTTAAAGTGAATTTGCATAATTTAAGGCATATAATTCTATGATCGTTCATAAAATGGCAATATATAAAATGTTTTGTGTGTCTTTTGTAAAAAATACACAAAATTATACTAATATTTCAATAAAATGATTGATTTGAGAGATTTAACAAATTAAGGTTTCTTGACTTATTTTGAATTTTAAAAAATTCTTTTTATGTGAAATCAGGAAATGTGTTAATTATGAGGGCAATCAGAAAGTAACTTATATTTTAGAATAAAAAAACACCCAAGTGAAAGGAAACATTTTTTATTATATACATTTAAAAGCCACACTCTTAAACTATTTTTCATCATAGTTACTATTCAAATTGAGACACATTATAATGCTGCACCAGCTTAGTAGTTCCATCATCATGGAATTTTGTTGCCTCAGACTTCAACCACTCATTCACACCTGCCTGCAGTTTTGTATCATCATTGAAGTGCTGCATTTTGATTTAAAAATAAAATAGAAAATTAAGCGGAAAGAAGTATTTTCTTTGAATTGACACAAACCTTTGAATAAGCAGTCTAACAGAATAGAATTACTCAGATACTGATTCAGTATTATATCATTTAAGAAAAAATTACTATATTAATCTTAGTATAAAACAATTATCTTTGATGATAAAACTGATATTTTGTCGGTAGTGATCTCATATNAGAATGTTCTCTATCTAAGGAAAGAATATTTCAAGAGAGAAAATGCTTTTGATTTTTTCCAGTGCCTACTTGGAAACATCACTGATTTTTTTTTCTTTTTTTAATTATCCTACATCAATTACTGAACTATCAAATATGATGTTAATCTTACTTAGATAGTAAAGGAGAAATAGATGGTAATATTTCAAAAAATATCTAAGTACGCACACTTTTATAACTTAGGTTATTAAAATTTTTAGTTTGTTAAGAGACAAATTGACATTATAATCTGTAAAATATGTTATAAAACAAAAAACATACATTCATTGAAATTATTTGCATTATTTGAACACGTTCTTTCCTTGTCACGTGATCTGTTATTACGTACTCTGCATTTTCGAAAATTTTACAATTTCCTTGGTTAAAATTCTGTACAATGTTGCCCGCACAGATAACCCGAACATGTATAATCAACCTAGTATTATCGTGACATCATCAACAAAGATGAGATTGTTAAAAGTGACCAGAATCACCACTGTTTCTGCCATTTTGACATCATTTGTCATTGAAAGAAGAGACGAGAGATAGGTGACCAGAATACGGCTCCAGGACTTTATGGCAGATGGATCAAAGATCTTCCATCCAAAACCATCCAAGAGCTGTTGAGTGCAATTGGCTGTGTGTGGGTGGGTGTTGTCATGAAAAAACAAAATCTTTGAACTCAATTTTCCCTGTTTTTTTTAATCACTCTTCTTAACATTTTTAATGTTTCACAATATCTCTCGGAGTTTATTGTTGAACCATGTTCAAGGAAATCCACCGGAAGCACACCCTTCTTGTCCCAAAACATGGTTGCCATGATCAGAAAGATCATCAAAATGTTGTCAGCAAGAAATGTTGACAACATTTGCAAACATTTTCTCGGCTTTGTGTGTCTCCATTCTGTAGACTGGTTTTTTGTCTCTTGATTCACGTGTTTTATCTCAGTCTCATCCACAGTTATGACAAGCTCAAGAAGTGAGTCACCATCTCTGTGGTAGGCTTCCAAAAATGTCAATGATGCTACCATGCACTATTTTTTGTAGTCATCTGACAAGATTTTCAGTATCCATCTGGCACAAAACTTATGGTAGCCTGGCTTGTGCATTACAACCTCATGCAACAAACTCTGTGAAATTTGTGGAAACTCAATTGAGAGCTCTGTAATTGTGAAGCAGCAGTTTTCACTAATCTTTCCATTGATTTTTGTCACCAGTTCATCAGTCATAATACTCAGTCGACCACTTTGCTTTTCATCATGAACATTAGTGCAGCCATTTTTAAACATATGCACCGCTGCCTTCACACACTACATTGTTTCTGTACACCTCACAAAGTTGTTGATGAATTTCAATTGGTTTGTGGCTTTTTGCCAACAAAAACTTAATCACTGACCACACTTCACAACTTATGGGATTTTCAATTGCATTACACATTTTAAAAATTCACAATGGATGAAGAGAAGCAACAAAAACAACACAGATAAATGCGTAATGAGTGAGGGTATGCTCTGACACCAAAATGGTGGCTCTAGCCCAACCCCATGCCCCTAATGGCTAAAGCATAAGTTACTTTCTGGATTTCCCGTATAGATAAGTTACTTGTGCCATGCTGTTTTCATTATATGCTTTTTATTAACTTACAGTGTTTTTAGTGTGTATAGATAAAATATTGTAACTCAATTTTCACCAACTTTACAATTTCTGATTTAGTTGGAACTTTGCATAGATATATATATATTTCTGATGACAATACATTTTTTTTTAGTTTGCAAACAATTTTAGCAAAAAACTGAGAAAAACCTTGCAGAGAATATGTTAAATTTACTTCTAAACCAAGAAGAATTTCAATAATTCAGTGTTACATATATAAAACTAAAAAATAGAAAATAAAAAATATTTTAATTTCTTTAAAGAAATGCTTTTCTATATATATAAAAATGAATGTATGTCTGTTGTATGTCCTTCATGCATTACCACACCGTTTATCCGATTGCCATGAAACTTTGGGAAGTTGTTTAATATACTCCTGCGCGAAGGTTTCTGGCATAGTATGATTGCCATGAAACTTTGGGAAGTTTTTTAATACACTCCCACGAAGGTTTCTGGCATAGTACATTTATCCTACAATAGATGGCGCGAGTGAATACGAGCATTGTGAGCTCAATCGATTTCAAATTGTGAAGACCATTTCCCCCTCTCCAAAAAATATCTCTATATATGCATTTGCGAACTGTTATTTACGATATTTGTAATAATTTTTTTTTAATTACTTTATTTCAACTATTTTTTCTAATTATGTATTCACTCGAACTTTGTTAAAACCTTAACTGTATCCCGAACAACAACTGAAGTTGTAGGAGGAAATTCTCCTATTTTACCGATCTAGGGATTCCCTTTTCCAAATTTTAATATCGACTCAAAATAATTTAAAAAGACAAATTATAATAAAACAGTTTATTATCCAACTATCAGAAATTTCACAACATGCCAAGGTAGAAAGGAAGGAGCAATTAAATAATTAAAATTGTAAAGGATTAAAAAATATATATAAAAATGGGGAATATCGCACTTCTGACAATCGCTGCAAGTGTGTGGTCTAGATTTGGAGAATCCGTGCTTCTCACATGGACAACTGTATGTGGTCAGCTCACGCATCAGAAAACCTTCTGATTTATTCGTGTACGCACCAGACGGAAAAACNATCGGTAGGGTATGTAGGGATTCATATTTAGAAATATTTTTAGTTATACTTTATATCACTTTTTATGGGCTTTCCATGAGTGCACCAGACTTATTTTTCATTGCATAATATCAAAAGTACTGTAAAAGCTGAAAAAATTATTTAATTTTTAGTGAATTTATTTGAAATAAAAGCATTTCTTTAAAATTTTCTAAAATATTTTTTTTTTATTGAATCTACTAATGTCATAACTATATGATAGTGTGATGAGATAGAATATATCAACAATTTCTAGATGATTTATATGATACATTTTTAATTAAATTTGTAGTGGGAAATATGGAAGTTTTACATGTTTACAAGAATAATCTAAGTGTAATGTGACAAAACTTTCAATAATTTGAAATTTCATTGATTTCATATTCAAAAACAAATAAAACAAGTTAGAATAAATATAGTATTAAATTATTTTTTGTTTGTTCTTCCTGAATTTGCATTTTATGTAGTATCATCATCATTATCAGTTATCAAAAAATGAATTCAGTTTCTTAATTTAAATTAAAAGCATTAATTTAAGGAAAATGTAATAGTTTTGAGTTGAATAATACATCATATATTTTGTTCAATTTAATATTTGATTAGTAATTACACAAAAATATTATGATGATTAAGGGAATTTTTTTATTTATGGTTAAATGTGTATATTATTTAATAAAATATATTTGAATAAAATATTTATAAAATTTAAATTTTTTAGATTTTTTTTTATTTAATAAAGAAAAATATTGTAGAAATATTTCTATGAAGAAAAAATAATTATTATTTAACTATCAAATATAAAATATTTTCAGCTTAAATTTAGAGAAAGTTCAAAATTCTTCTAGTGAATTAAATTCCATAATTCAAGCTTTTATGGAATGTATTCAGCATGTTCTCAGTAAATATCAAACTTCTGAAGATAAAGAATTAAGACATCAAGTTATTCTGAATCAGGTATACATTTTAAAGTTAGAAATTTATGTATTTTTATATTTTATTTATGTAAATACTAATAATTACTGTAAGCTATATTTTTAGAATTGCATAATTCAAGTTTTTATATTTCATTTATGAACAAGTAATAATTTTAATAATCAGTACAGGGTAATCTTAAAAATTTTCTGCATTAAATGCATTTCTCTGTATGCTTAATTATTTTTTATTTATCATTAGAAAAGTGCATTGTTATATATAAAATATTCTTTCTAGGAAGATATATTTTTATTATATGTGTATGGTCAAAATCTAGAAACTTCTTGACAATGTGATATGTGTTCAATGTTGCAGTCTTCTATAGTGCCATGTATGTTTTTATTAAGGTTTAATGTTTCTAGACTTTTTTATAATGTATGTGATATAACACTGGTAGAAGAGATGACAACAAGTACAATAAATACCTTATTCATCCTTCACATCTGTCTTATTTCTTGAGCATGTGGAGTGTATTTGTTGATTTTTTCAATGTGTGCATTTTTCATGTTATGAGTGTTTGAAACAGAGATGTCTATAAATTAGTGATCTTACTGCATTTGTGTTGTTATTATTATAATTAGTTGAACATCCCACAGAACATCCAATTCCATGGTTACATGGTTCACTTTGTTTACTCACCCTATGGGCTTGGCCCACTTGTTTCCATTATAAATTATTCATAACAAAACTTTTGTGACAATTCAACCCTCTGTGAGGACCAAAACTCACTCCTTTCACTCTCTCTTGCAGAATAGCAGTTCAACTTTCCACTATCACTTGCTTCACTCTCCTCTTGGCCCAACCTCCTATCCCTGTTTACTTTACTCAGTCCCCACTTGTTTCACTCCATTATGCCAATTCCTTCAGGCCACCCCTTCACTTTGTTCAATCCTTTGCTCATGTCACTTATTCGTTCAAAAATTTTGTGATAATAATTCATTGATTTCTAGTGTTACCATTTTTTTTTTCTTTTTGTAATGTAAAAAAAAATTAATGACAATTTTAATCTAAGTATTTTATATAAATAGAATAGATATAAAATCAAAATTTGCATAATTATAGGTATTATATATATTAAAAAATATAGTTGAAGGGTTGAAATCTGAAGAGTTTATATACAAAAAATGAAAAATATAGATAAAACAAAATATTCCTTGAAAGTTTTATTTATTTGTATTAAAGTTTGCAGAAAAATACTTACAATCAAGAGACTGCTGCAAAATTCTTACACAAAACTTGCATTAAAAAAGAAATTATAGCTGGTCCAGCCTGAAATATTTTATGAAAGCAGTTTTAATACAATATAAAGGGTTTAAATTATGTTTAGACAATCCTTAAAAAGTGTATTAAAATAAGACTTCTGTTTTTGTAATTAAGTTTTCATAGAATGATTGATTTTAGGTTGATATAAATGGCATTATTTCCTTTATGTCCAAGTTTTATCTTGGGTATATGGTTCTTGGCTGCTAAAATAGGAATTATCATGTCCTTCAGTTGGGAGGTAGTTTTTCCCTTTTTTTAAAGATATTAACAAATTTCCAAAGCTCTGGATCATTGAAAGACTACATTAATCCACATATTATACCTCATTTCTTGTTACTTATATCCAAGAAACTGTTAAATTTTCAATTTAATTGTATTTAAGAACCTCAGTTGAAGCATGATTAAGTTCCTTCAAATCACTCTTATCCAAATCAAATGAGTTTTCTGACAGGATTCATGTATCCTATTTCTCAACATTAGATGGTTCATAGCATTTAACCATTTTCTTTTCTTCTCAGTCTGGGAGAAATCATAATCAATGAATGGAGTGGTCCCTTATAAGGTATTTGTATTGTACTTCATGAAAAAACACCATTTATCACCAAATAAATCAAAACTAATGACACCATCTGGTTTTTATTTTGCACAATGCAAATTTTACTTCAAATTATCAAATTCAAATATTAAAAATTAATAGATGAGTAAAATACCTTTTTTCATAGATACCATAACTTTCCACTCAAACCAAAAACCTCCAAATATTCAAGTATTATTCCCAAATCTGCAAGCAATGTTTAGCGATGGGGCTAAAATTCGTTGAAGCGTTCAGTTTAGCGATGTGGCTAAAATCCGTCGAAGTGTTCAGTAGAATCGGTTCGAATTTGGTCCTACCTTGTAAGGTAATTGCCTCAGTCATCCACGTGTCCTGGGTTCTTTGTTCGTCAGTCAAGATTAATTAATGAAGACACCGTTTTCGATGAAATGCCTTATTTTATTTCTTGACTATAGAATATTTACAAAGGTCCTTAAGTTAAATCAGTGTTTTTCAACTTTCTTGAATACGCTACCCCTTTACAAGTTAAAAAATACTTGCGACCCCCCCAGGGTCATATTTAAACTATATCAGTGATTTTAAAAACTACGTATTTAATTTTCTTTCTTTAAATATTGATCAAAAAACCAATTGTCCTGTAAAATAAACAGGCACAGCCTTCTCACTGAAATTCTAGTTTTTTTTATTGTAGTGTAGGACCTACAAACATTTGTATTTTTCTTTCACCCACAACCTCCCGTGTAAGGCTTTGCGACCCCCCTGGGGGTCGCAACTCACGGGTTGAAAAACACTGAGTTAAATCATTGTACAAATGTGAGTTCATTGGCGAAGTTGATCCCAAAAGGTTAGCATAATGAAAGCATCTCTCCTGGTCGGCGTCCGAGAATGAAGTGAGGTCAGATAGGAAAGGTCAAGCGGTGGCGCCTCTGCCCTACAAATGCCTAGTACATAGTTGCCTTTTCAGCAATAGCTGGAACAAAGACCTAGATCACGGTTCTTCAACCAGGGTTCCGCAAACTTTTTTAGAGTTCCTTAACATCGTATGCACCTTTTTCCATGGTTCAACAAAACCTCAAGAGATGGCACTGTAAAATACTTAATGTTGTTTGTATCAACCTATATCTGTGAAAGATCTTTCTCTCTGTATGCAGCAACAAAGACTAAATACAGAAACAGGTTAGATGCAGAAGATAAAATTCATTCATTTGCAAATCTCAACCATTACTCAGGATATAAATATGCTTTGTGATAAAAAAAAAAAGGCTCAGCCTAGTCATTAATGATTTTTTTTTTGTATTAAATTTTATTTGCGTTACTTTGTATTATTTTGTCCTTATGTTTGTGTGTAACAATTTGTTTTGTATTTACATGTTTCATATAAAATAAAGTTTTATTTCATATTATTATTATTATTATTATTATTATGTTGGGTTTAGTGGGTTATACTCAGTTCACACTGGTGACTGTGTACTATGCCGGACCACAGTCAAGGCATAGTAACCAAAAACTAAAATTAAATAAGTGTGTCAGTGTCTGTATTCAGGAATTTCCTAACAATATGGCATGTATTCAATATAGTGGCCTTCTGTAGTGTGATGTATGTATTTCTACTCAATTGTAATGTTCCCAGGCTTTTGTGTAGCGTGTGTGGTATCACACCTGTACAGGAGAGAACAACAGGTACAATAAGCACCCTATCCATCCTCCACAGATGCCTTATTTCCTGGGCGAGTTCTGTGTACTTGCTAATTTTTTCAGTGCATGTGTTTTGTACATTGTGAGTGTTTGGAATGGCTATGTCTATAATGTATGTGATTTTATTGTGTTTGTCAATGAGTGTGATATCTGGTCTGTTGTGATAAATTGTTTTATCTGTAATTATGGTCCAGTTACAATGTGCCTAGCAATTATTTAAATAATTGCTAGGCACATTGTAACTGGGTTTAGAAAGTGGAAAAAAAAAAAAAAATAAATAATAATAATATAATAAGGATAGTATTTAGTTTGGTTGAAGGTCAGATCTAAGAATAATATATTTTATTATTTTTCTTTTTATAATTAATGTAATATTCAAAACAAATTTATTTTTATTTTTTTATATAATAAATATAAGAGATTTCCAAGTTACTCCTTACCCACAGCCTGAAGATCCACCCCAAACCATCATCCATCATAAAACCATTGTTGAGTGTTTCTTAAAGAATGGTCTCTGACTATTTCCAGGGGAACTCTATCCCCATGGTTTTTCATGATATGTTGTAACGCACCGTTTACGAAACAAAAAGGGGTTACACAATAGTAGGGTTCAAGTACCAGGCCTGGACTTTCCAAAATAAAAATAACCAATAATTTTCACAACCACATATAATAATTCACAATAAATATAAGATTTATTATCTTGACAAAAAAACCAATAATGGGTTAATTGTCCCAACAGTAAGTTAAATAATTGAACACTGGAAAAGTTGCAACAAAAATCAATAATCAAAGACAATAATACTTATAATATCCAACTCAACAAAACTTTTATCTCTACCTCAAAAGGATTCTACAGCAAAAAGATACTGTTTCCTCTAATTGATCCCAGACGTTTCTACCATAGTTGTCACCTGAAAAACTAACTCTGTCGTGGATGTGCTGCCTTTTATTCTACCTCGAGTGCAGCTCCGCACTGTCTTAATTTACATAAGATGTCGTTCCAGGATCAAGCACTGATGCAAACTAAGTTTTCTTTTTCTTTCATGGTCACTGGTGCTCAGGAGTTTGTCCTTAACAAAAAAAGAACCCCAAAAAGAAAAATAATTAAATAAAGATAACGCCCCAAAACATAAAATAACGATCGGACATTGACTCCTTTACAATGTAAAAGAATGCTTAGGTGGAACTTGAGTAGATAATCAAAGTTTGAAAACATTGTCTTAAATTGTTATCTAAATGTAGGGTTCCTTGAAGAATATTATAAACTAGAAAGATTCCAAAGGCTGTGGAAGGTTTGAAGACCCCTGACCTAGATGTTTGTTTTAACTGTTTGCAGTGGTAGGGTGGAGATATCCTCTTAGACCTTCATAGATATTACTGGGCTTGGTATTACATTTTCATAAAAATCTCAACCTTTCATTTTTTTTCAGCATTTATACCCTTTAGATTTTCAACCCTTCAGTTGAAGATGATGCAAATGCCCTTCTACAAACTTTGTTTTATATTCTGTATTGTATATTCTGTATAATTTTTACATATTAAATATTCTTTTATGAAAAATATTGCTTGTTGTAAAACTGCTTTTTGACTTACGAATGAAAAATTTAATTAGTGATATTAAATAATAATATTTTTCATTTACAGCTTCTTTCTTTATTAGAAACATCCATTGTTGAAGAAAAATCTTACTTAGCTTCCTCTTGTTTTTATGTTAAATTAAAAGATTTATTAGATTACATCCAATGTCAAAACTGTAATAATAATCCTTTGAAAGAAAACTTTGAAGACATTTTAACATTGTTCTGGGATAACTTCTTTATTATGTGCAAGAGTTTACTGGATAATGAAACACCAAATCAGGATAATGAACTGTCACATTTAGCAGAATTTTTTTATTGTTTACATTGTTCAAAAAAGATTAGAAAATGGAAAGTTAAAAAGAAAGTTAATTTTTTAAGAAAAGAAGAAATGTTTGATGAAAAATCTATTGAAACAGAAAACAGCAATTTTTGTAATGATAATTTACCTGTTAAACAGCCTGATTTTATAGCTGCTAATCATCATATCATAATGCCTACACAGAAATTGTGTGCAACAGTTATGGCAAAATTTGAAGCAAGTCATAATATTGTTTATCTTAAATTATTGTGTGAAGTTATGAGTATAGCTGCTTCTCAAGAACTATTTTCTATGTTACTACAATCATCAAAAGATATATCTGTTGACAATAACAATGCTGCAAATGAATATTTTTATAAAGTTGTTAATGCATGGGTGATGTCAATTGACAAAATTAGTTCAGATAAAAAACAATATATATACTGTCTTGTAAATATTGTTATGGCTATATGTTCCTGTATTGACTATGAAGCAGCTGAAGATATTTTAAATGATTTTATAAAGGTATATTCTAAATTATTCTATTATGAATTGTATATAATAGAATCATTTCTATTGTTATATAATGTTTTTTTTTAATTCTAAATAATTTCAGTCAAAAAATCCAATTATGCTAGAATGTTTGATGACATTTACAAAATTTGATACCTTCAAATTTTTGAAAAAGTGGCTTCATAGTTCAAATATTGGTGAAATCATAGTGATGCAGGCTGAAGAATTGTGTCAGTCAACACTTGGTAATGTTGTAAAAGAACCAGATGTCCTTGATTCAATTTGGAATGTACTTCATATTTGTCTAACAACAACTGAACAGTTTGGTAAGTATAATATCAGAATTGAAAATAAAGTAAAATTATGAATTTGATTAAAAGTTTTCATTTTTATAGAACCAATCATAGGTATTGAATATATGAGTAGAATTTTAGAAATATTTCATCAATGCCTAATAAATAGTAAAAATAACCAAGAAACGAAGAAAACAGATGTTGTTGAATTTGTGTGTGATCTGATGGTTAGACTTTTTTCCAGTTTTAAGGTACTTTTTTATTTTTATTTACAAATGATAATTTTATAATAATTTATTGTAGGGATGTTGGCAATTAAATGCTGCCGAAGAATTGCTATTGTCTCTCTTCCTTCTTAGCTGTGATTTAGATTCTTCAGGTAAAATAAATTTTAAATCTAGTTTTGATACACTGTCAAGTGGGTAATATTTATTCTACAATTTTTTTAAACTACACATTTTAATATTTTCAAAAAAACATTTTTTAAAAATTTATAAATTTAAAATGACAACTCATTTGCCTATGCTATGTTAGACCAAAATAAAGGCATAACTACAAAAAAAATGTATTATTATTATTACAATATTTTAAAATTCAGAAGTATTTAAAAGGAAATCTGCTTTTGAATACTTCTGAATTTTATAATATTGCACATTGATTACAAAAATTATAGACTGATGTAATGTGAGGTCGTGACATTCACATTCAGGTATTAAAGCAAAAAAAATTAAATTTTGAATTTGAGATCTAAAGGTGTAACTGAATGGAGGTCATAAATGTGGGTTTGTGAACTCAAGATGAAGGAAAGCTCATTTTTGCATTGTAAAACTCATCTATTGAGAAGATATGTCCCTTACACACTATCTGCAGAATCAATAATCTGTTACAAGAGTTCACAAACAAACTGGTTCATATGTGTACTGTACATAATCAGTTTGCACAGAGAAGAGTCTTGGATATACTCACTGAGAAGAGAGGTAAAAATCTATAATCCAGGATGTCCACCAGGCTGAGGTAAGGATTGTAGAAGAGAAGCACATACACATATCTGTAGAACAAATGAAAAGATTAGCAGAAATAATAATTTGAAATAAAAAAGTAATCCAGAAGGGCACAGAACAGTGTGTCAGATAGAACCAAATGAAAGCAAACATCACATTTAGGAACAAGGGTTTTTATAAATTGGGTATTAATTAGGGTTTCTCATTTCCAGGAAATTTGCCTCCAGCGGAATTACGGGAAAAATAATTTCTTTTCCTGGCATCCTGGGAAATTCCAGGATGAGATAATAAAATAGAATTTGATATGAATAAAAAATATCATATAGGAATATCATAAATTTGAATAATTTAATTTATTTTCTAGTAAGTAACTAAAAGTGTAGGGCCATTCTCACCCATACCGACGTGTTAGGCTCAATTAATTTATGTTCTCCTACATTTTAAGATGAAAGTAAAATAAAGCGTTCCTTTGGGAGTTTTAATGAACATAATAATGATTACGAAAAAAATACTATTTTATTTCTAAAGATGAAATAAAAAATACACTTATTCCATAAATTTAATGAGAAAAAAGACAATTATTTTGAATTGAAGAAAAAATACAACTTCTCAAAAAAAAATTATTTTCAGTTGAAAGATGAAATAAAAAATACACTTATTCCATAAATTTAATGAGAAAAAAGACAATTATTTTGAATTGAAGAAAAAATACAACTTCTCAAAAAAAAAATTATTTTCAGTTGAACATAAAAAATTCTACTCAAAAAATTTATGAAAACAAAAATCTCTCTCTCTCTCAAAAAAAAAAAAAACGTATAAATTTTCATAATAAGACTTCAAAAAACAAAAATGATCGATACTTTGATCACTTAATCTAGTTCTCAATTTGGTCACAAAAAGACCTGCAGCTGAAAACGCCCTTTCAGACTATTGAGGTGGGTGGAATGGTTTTCAAAGCTCTCAAAAGAAGAGAGATTTTATGCCTGTTTTTTTTGAAGATTGCTAACTCAGTTTCTAACTGCTCTCCAGCACTTAATTCTTTGTTTATTGCTCTCTGCTCTTGTAGTATTCTTGATCTCACGGATGCGTCAAGATATGCATTTAGCTCGTCAGGTAAAGTCATTTCATTCGGTAGTGTGACAGTCTGTTATTCTTGAGTTCATTATCTTCACTAGAATCAAAATAGCAGGTTCTCCAAAAAGGCAATCAAACATTTGTTTTGCTGATGAAATTATAATTGCCTCAGATTGTTGGAATGTGCTGTACTCTCGAACTTCTTATATTTGTTTTCACCAGTGAGGTAGAGTAGCAGTCCCATCAAGTTTTCGTTTCTTCTCTCTTTTATACGGATAAGAAAATATTCATGTATCTTTTTAGAAAAAGCAATGTTCAATTGTTTCAAATGAAAGAGGTAATATCCTCTGCTGAAAGTAGAGTAGATTTTCTTCTACCTAGCTTTCCAACAGCTAGTTTTAAGGGATCTAGTGATGCCACAAATTACATCAACTTTTTGTTTTTCAAGGCTAAGAGTACTATTTTTATCTTCTTTGAGATCAGTGAGAGCTTTCAACACAGATGGACTTATCTTGATATACCGTTCTAGCATAGCTAAAAGACTGTTCCATCTGGTTTTTGAATCCAATATTAAATGTAAGGGTTTTCCATGATCCTGTTTAATGTATTCTTGTAACACATTATTCTTCACAAGTGATTTAAGAAAAGTTTAGCTATCTTTCTGACTTTATTAATGATTTGAGAGATGTCAATTTCATACAATTCAGATGCTAAATCTATTTCAAATAGATTTTCATTAGAGTGTTCATATTCTGAAATAAAATTTTCAACGTCAATACCTTGAGTGAAATCATCTTCACTTTCATCAATGTTATACTCATCTCTTTGGTGACCTACTTCTGGCTGGTTTTCATCAATAAAGGAGATTCATCACACACTGCATCACACACTGCATCACACACTGCTAAGTGGATTTCATGTGCATAACACAATTGGTGCTCACATTCAATTAATCTTCCCATTTTTTTCATTACAGTTGCACCATTTCATTACACACAAGCCACCACGTGTTTTTCCAAAGAAATACGATATTCAGCTAACTTTTCTTTGACCCCATTAACAGCAACTTCAGCAGATTGAGAACCAGAAATCCTTACCATTCCTAAATTTCAAAATTTTCCCTTTCCTATGTGTACATTAATATTCATATATCGGCGATTGTTTAGAGAGGAGTACTTGTCTAATGATATACTAAACCTTGTTCCTGAAGTTATTTTCTCCACAATTTTAGAAATCAAACTTTCTTTTATCTGTTTGTATTGTGAGTGAACCAGATCCATGACATGAGTTGGATTTGTTGGCAAAGTACAGTAGAACCTCGATTATCCGGATTGTTCAAAATAAACAAAAATTTTACGAATTTGCTGATTTGCACTTGGCAAATTACGACACTGTTTATGTACGTGATGGAATGCATAACTTTTTTGTTTCAACAACATCTCACCCAGCACAGTGGTCATAAACTCTTAATATATTTTACGTAGTAATAAAAATATAACTTGACATACGTATTTATAAATAATTTATATTCAAATTACATCATTTCTATGACCAAGGGCGGCGTAAGGCATGGACGATGTATGCCTTGCAGTCCGAAGGGCCTCGTGCCTCGAAGGTTTATGCATTACTTAAAAGCCGCGAACGCGACGAAAAAATTTTACTCGTCATAAAACGGTAAATAGTTTGTCAAATTTTTATTCATAAAAATGCAGTTTCAACTGCTTTTTATTTTATAAAATCTGTCTTCTTGCGCCACCAGAGGGCCTTTTAAACAATAGGTAGTCTGTTAGCACTGGTCAGTAGTAGTCCAAATTCAATACGAACATTTGTTTCTTGAAAATTTGATCACGATTTAAATACAGTATTTATTTTTAATTAGCTGCAAGGACCCACTTTGCTGGGTTTTTATTTGTGGGCAAAAAGTAACGATAGTGAAGATGAAGATAATTACATTATAGCCAATCTTATCCGTTTTCACAGAATGCAAGAATTAGGTCCCCCATTTCCAGACTAATTAGAGAATTTTTACGTCCAGTCAAATGAACTATTTTCAATTTGATCAATTTTCTGGAACGTTTACAATCGTTCTATAATCAAACCAATTCAAATTTAAATTCGAAAATTTTTAAAATCGAAATAGAAAATCTTCCACTTTCAATCACTTTCAAGCCCATATCTCTCACACCCTTATAGCTATCAAGACACAACCACCATAGTGCACAAATGGAGACTTGGGGCTACTACCACATACAAACACCATTCATGTGCAATGTGTAGTTTTGGCTGAAAAGTGAAATATAGGGACACACACGTCCATTTATATATATATATTACCGATATGTCATCGAAAATAAAACGTGTTGTATTATCATTAAAAGACAAATTAAAGTATTTGTTTTGATTATCTGAATTTTTTCTGTATCCGGACTACCTTCATCCCCAATTAGTCCCGGATAATCGAGGTTCTACTGTATATCCTTTCTCTGCCAAAGATTGCTTGATATATTCACTTTTTGTAATAAAATTAATAGCTATACCATGTAGCATAGACAACTTTGTAACTATTTCTTGCAAAGTATTCTGTTTTATCAAAAATGATGATAGATTTTGCTGAGAGACTTTCCTCTTGTTACTACTACATTGATGTTCTTCACTTTTATTATCAGAATCACTAGTAGAAGACTTGTTTATATTGTGCTTCGCATGCAGGTGTCTGACAAGACCACTAGTAGACCAACCTTTGCACTTTATCTCAGCTTTACACTCTTTACAGGTTGTTGATTGTTGTACTTGGTTTTTTAAAAAATGTTTCCAAACAGAGGACTCTGATATTACAATGGTTTGATTTTATCAATTATATTAAAATAAATTGTTGTAAAATATGAGTAATTGATTAATATAGGAATTTCAAATAATCACACTTACAGTTACAAATGATAGGATATAAATGGGAATGTAAGCTTTAATAAATTCTTTAACTTATAAATGTGAATTCAAAACTAAACTGCGATGAGTGATATTTACTTTCAGCGAGTGCTCCGCTGCTCAATGATGTGCAAACATGATACATAGATATTACATGAACTAACAAGTAGAGACTTGTAAAACATAGGTAGTAATATGCAGCATGAAACCTCAAAATTTCTCTCTTAGGTGAGTCTTCAAAATGCAACTTTTCGTATATGGTAGAAAGAAAGAATGGTAGAAAGAAAACCTGACATGATAAATTATTATTGAAATGTGAGATTTCCCGGGAAAAAAAATTTCCTGGGATTTTTCTCGTAGGGAATAAATGGTGGGAATCCTGGCAAAGAAACCCTAGTCTTAATCTCTCATTCTGATTGGTGTTGAATATTCTTCCCCTACACCTTGATTGGTCTCTTTGCTGTTTCTAGATGAAGTTAGAGACTATGAGCTATGAAAAACATCAATGTCAACAATTAATTCAATGGTGAATTTGATCCTGATCTTAGGACTCAAATCAGATGGTATGTATATTCTCTCTGATAGTAAGTTGATGCAAACATTTGAAGTCATTCAGAATTTCTACAGGATATAAGCAATTCAATAAAGTATTATACTTACATTCTTCTGTAAAGTTTAGAGGAGAGGTGTTAAGATCTCAACAACTACAGGACTTTATATTTCTGTTAAAAGATTATGTAAATAGATATATGTAAAACTTCATATAAATTATATAAATTTTTTATTATTTAACTAATGGTGCCATCAATTAAGACAAGCAATTAATCTAAATTCCAATTTCTTAAATTCAAAAAATTTATTATCATTTTAATTGTTAAACTAAAAGACACTTACAAGGGGACCTTACAATCTCAGAAATTCAGTTCAGGATGAGACTTTGCAGGTTAGTAGCATACCCCAAGGGTGTCCACCCAGAAGAATTGTAAAGTGCACTAGCCATAAGATTCTGAGAAAAAATGCTCTAAAGTTTTAAGTGCAGCTCATATACCAATCGATTTTACACTATGGCAGCACAGCGAAATGGCTGAGTCTGTAGCAAACTCTGTTGCCACATGGGCGATCTAGGTTTGATCCTACCTACGGCAAACTTTTTTTTTCTTTTTTAATTGTTTTAAAAATTGTAACAACTTTTAAATAAAGTTAATGATCTAAAAATATTATCAATTAAATCATAAATAATTTTATTTTATTTATGAAATGACTGTTACAGCTAATTAAAATGTGAATTAAAGATAATATTTTATTTTTAAAAAGTTGAATAATTTCAAATGCATTTTTAATGGAGGTAAATTAAAACTTTAATTACCACTTTTTGGACATAATATGATAATGTGCAATAAAAGGAATAATAACTGTTAACATAACTCATCCATAGATAAATAAATAAAACTCACGCCAAAATTGTATAGCTTCTTGATAAC